CTGCCAGAGGAGGAAACTAAGCAGAATTTCAGTTCAGTCTCAGAAGGGCAACTATCACACAGGCTCCTGCCGAGGGAGCACAGGGCTGAGCTGTGTTATGGGTTCCACACTCTGGCCATGGGCAATGTGCCAGTTTCCTTTTCCTTCCAGGTGTACAGAACTTCAAGAACTAGTTGGCAAGTGGTATTTGAAATGTCAAAATACAGTAACATTACAAATTCATGTACGTGACATATACATATAATGTATGTGATTAATATTTATATATATTAATGTGTGTATAAAATACATTTCTTATTTGTGGACCAGATTCAGTAAGGCAAAAATAATCAACACATTTTCCTATATCAGATGTTAATAATAAGCAACATTAACACTTTTCTCCCTTCATGTGTTAAAAATAGCCTTGCTTATGAATAATGGTCTCTGCTGTGACACAGCAATCTGTCTGAGCTGTGTTTGCCAAGGAACAAAATGGACCCAAATTGCCCATGGCCTGCCAGTCAGGACAGATTTTCATTTTACAGTGTAAACTGTAAAAGATTCCTTATAGCTATTGGATAGCAGATGAGGACAGACAGTAAGGGTTTAGCAGTGTTTTCCTTAACCTTCCCATTTCTCCCAGCAGTAAATGTAAATGGGTGGTTGCTGGCTTCTAATGGCAGCCATAGCACTCCACCTTAGCAGCTTCATTCATTGGGCAGGTGAGCTGCAGGACTGGCAACGGGTGCAGCCCTTTTCTGTCATTAGCAGAAGAATGCAGGATGTATCTGAATAAACATATTATTTGAGATCCGTAGAGCATTTTCAAAGAGGATCATCAAAACACCCCAGCTGACCATGCTTTGGTTCACACATCAGAGCAATCTTGGAGCACAAACAAGTTTAGTTGATAGGTATTGAAACTGGGAGGTGTGTATTAGCAGTATATCCACTGTGCGCCAGGCTCTAATGGTTGCTCAGAGCATGGGACCAGACTAGCCTCAAGAAAAGATCTCCAAAATTATACAACATGGGCATGAAATCCTTAGAATGGTTTCCTGCTGTCCTTCCCTTCTTGCTCATCAGTTTTAGGACTGGAACCCTTAAAAGGCCCCTGAAGGTCTTAGACAGACGAGCAAGTAGAGCCCAAAAAGGAAGAGGATGGATGTTCACCCAACAGAGGGAGTTGTTTCACAGTTTCTAAATACAGCTGTTAAAAATAATTCCACAAGTTTGAGAAAAAGGGTGAGGTTGGCTTGAAACAATAATATTAAGATACATTTGGGACTTTTTCAGAAAAAAAATAAAATCATGCATTTTTGATTTTCAAAGCCATCTGAGTTTAATCTCTTCTGAAGCTGTCAAACATTTAGGGGCATTTGATAATATTTCTAAGGTTTTCTCTGCAACTCTGAATATGAGGAGCTTATTCTTAAAAAGTAGATGAGGTTCTAGAATAATCACACAGTTTCAGAATTCAAGACCTATGAAACCTAGTATATTCACAGCAAAACTACAAGAAATGCTAATACTTTTGGTTTTAGCAAAAATCAGTGTTCTTAACGCATATAAACATTTAGATCTTGCTGCATATAACTAAAAAGATTCTGTTGCCGTCTTTTGTCAACATTGTTCTTGCCTAGCAATTTCCCTATCAAAGCTTTTGCAGTATTATGATTGCCATCATTTACTCTCCTTCATTTAACTTGCACAGTTAATGGAATGATATGTAGCCTACATGACTGCACAAGGAGGGATATAATCAGAAAGCCATTGGAAACACATTTGGAAAATAAACTTCATTGCAATGACTGCTGGTCTTCAAGGGTTTTGAAGAGCTCCACTATGAGGCACGTAATTTTACTGCCTCTTTCAGGTTGCACAAGAGGTCCTGTGCAGATTGCACAAATGCTCTGCCCTAGGTTGTGTGGTCTGTGTGTGCTGCTTTCTTAACAGAAAACCTTCTTGAGATAACAGGCTTCCATTGCTAAAACACTAACCCTTGGGATTTGGGAAAGTACAGTTATCTCCCTGTCTAACCTGTGTGACATGGGTTTTTAATCTGACCATTTTAATTCAGCCATTTTTATCTGACCACCAACTGGGCTAACATTACTGCTTTCAGATTTTTTAACATGGATTAAGGAAGCGTTTAAGGAAAGGAGAGCTGAACAAAGCAGGGCCCCTGCTATTCAGAGCTGAGCCTGATCAAGGGGGACAGGTCATCACAATGTTGATGCTGGACACCAGAGGAGGTGTGTGCCACTTCAGGTCCTTTGGCACCCTCAGCCCTTAAGTCTACAACAGGAAAACCAGTGTTTGCCACCATGGAAGGTTGTTTGGTCCCCAGGGCTGCAGAAGCCTCCAGAACCTCTGTGAGTATTCAAGCCAAGCTCCAGCTACAGTTAAAGGAGTCTCTAGGGCAAGTGCAGACTAAATCAATACCACAAAGAAGCAAAAAGTAATTCTTGTGAACGATGAAAAGTCATCTTAATTCTGCCAGTGGCCAGAATGAACTAAGTCAATGATTTTGCCAGCATGTTTTCAGTGGCGCCATTGTACTGAAGGAAAGAGAGCTGGGAATGTTCTTATCTTTCTCCTGCTGTGTTTTGCAGATGGCAAGCTGGGAAAAAAAACCACCTTTCTCTAATCATTTAAAATGCTGTTAGGAAGCAAAACATATTCAATGTCATGCAAAGATAAAAAATATTAACAAAGGCCTCGAAAGGCAAGATTCCTAGGATGCTGCTTTCCATGCCTTTTTCTACAAAGATATTTCAAGGTATACATTTTAGCAGTGATTCAGCAGATCTTGTACAAGATTCTGCCTGTATCATCAATAGCCATGTCTTTAACATGCAGCCCAGTGTCCATTTTCTCTGTGTTTAGCAATCTGCCAGGGTTTGATCTGCAGCCACTCCACAACCTTGTTGCTGAGAAGAATGCAATTCCATGGTATGGGCAGCTGGCTAGGCAAGCCCTCCTTAGGGAAACGTCTGGAAAACCACACCTGTGTGCTTGTTGGGTGGAAGTCTAAGTGAAGAATTTATTATGTTTATCATTATTCATAATTCAGCATGCATCAGATGGACATGGTTATAGTAAAATTAGGGAGTTCTCGATGTCTGGGAAATGATTGGTATCTGCTCTACGGCTTTGGAATGCTGAACATTTCCTTTATTGAAACTGTATTATATTACATTACACTATATTAAAGAGACATACTATACTACATCATACTTTCTAACTTCTAACTACTGAACTGAAAACCTCGTGACTCTCTATTCGAGAGTCCCGACTCACACACGTGGATCTAATTGGTCACCTCAGGTAAACAATCTCCAGAATGCATTCCACTTGCACACAAACACAGGAGCAGTAAATGAGATAAGAATTGTTTTGATCATTCTTTTCTCTGCTTCTCTCTGTTCAGAGGGCATGTGAATGCCACACATGATTTTTCTCTTCAGAAGATTTTTGAGTAATTCCTTGCTACTTAGTACTTAGTTGGTACTTAGTTTTCAAACTAAAATCATGTCAAGACCAAGCTTCCATGACAGCCTAAGTTCACTGAAAGCAAAGTCTTCAGTACATTCTTAACCTCAAATCCTGTCCTTTACCAATGGTTTCTGAAAAGCTCTATCTCCTTTAGGTGATTTATTCAAGGAACATGATTGCACAAGAGGCCCTTGTGCAAAGCTTAATTAAATTATCTAATCCTTTACTGGCAGCTAGAAATTTTTTTCTTGAACCATGGATTATTCAAATACCATCATAGTGAGCAGCACCCAAAGGCTCTCAAACCCTCATCATCAATCTCAGGTTTCTTTCTGAGTAGAAAAAGCAAAATCAAAAACCACAAGAGCATCCATGAGAAAGGCTGATTGAGAATTTCATTTGTATCCACAATTTGAAGATCCAAGGACCATCAGATTTTCCTTTAGCAACAACAAGGGATAATTTGGTCTAATCTGTTAAATACAATACTTTGAGCCACATGTATTTTAAGCCACATTTTCACATGCTGGCAGCAAATGAGTGTCTGCCTCTGTAGATGTGACTTTGATTATAGCAGGGGTTTGTGTGATTCATCATCAAAAGATGAATTTTGAAGCACCCTGCCTTCACATGCATGTGTTGTGGAGTGTGGGCAGTGGGCAGGGTGCTGCCCCAGGACCCAGAAGAGCCAGCTCCAATCTGGGCTCTGCCATTGGCTTGCCAAGCGACAAAGTATGAGACTGTTTTCTTACTTACAGGCAATTAGGAATGGTGAGCACAGTGCTCACTGCATAATGATTATATATTGGTATGACCATTTTCAGACCAGTGCCTCCTCAGTTCATGACTGGGGCCTACAGGCATTATAAAGTCAGCAAAGATAGCACCATAAAGGTAAATTACAAAGGTATTAATGGCATCAGCTAATATAGACTAGACCTGAGTATGAAAGCCACATATTTTGGCCAGTAAGTGGAGAATGAAAAGCTTTGTTTCAGGTATTAAGCATATTAAGGACATTATGCAAATGATTTGATAAATGTATCCTCATTTCTGCTTTTATTTTTAATTTTCTGGATGACATTTTAATTTGTGAAATAATGTCCTTAGCCTATGGCCAGCTTTTCATGGCTGTTCTCAATTGCATTTGGATACGTCAAAGGAACTGTAAGAGCTTCATGTCTCTCCACCTGCCAGGGGAGAGTGGAGTCATGGCACTCTTCCAATGCTAAATGCATTTCCTGGTAGCCAAAATCACTTTCCATAAATCAGAGAGGACTGCCTGCATTATGCCCAAGGCTGAGGTCATGTAGGGGACCAGAAGCCAGTTCTGAGCATCTCATTTGTGATTTGATTAAGGTGCAATGTTGAGAAGAAATAGTTGAAAGTAAGCATTCTAGAGAAATCTGCCAGGTGGGTGATGGAGTAGGCTTTCTGGTCTCCAGCCACTCATCTCAGCTCAAGATTCTCAGAGGAGGAGCTGGGAAAGTGAAGCATGCTAACGAGATCTCTCCTTTCAGCTTACAAGGAAAAGATGAAGGAGCTGTCCATGCTCTCGCTGATCTGCTCCTGTTTTTACCCGGAACCTCGCAACATGAACATCTACAAATATGATGGTGAGTGATGTTTACTGGTAGTCATCCTGCAGGTCAGAAAATGTGCTAGTGCTGGGAAATGACTCAGTTGTCCTCCTAGTCCATGGTATTAGTTGGTGAATATTTTGCTGATTTAATAATTTAATTGCTGGTTTGGGCAATTAATTTCTGTGTAGTGTGCAGTAGCGACAATGGTGGATATTGTTCCTAATAGGAGCTAACTAAACTTTTAACAATGACCCTCTCATACTGAGCTGTTCTTTCCCTACTCCCCATTTGAGAATTACAGTTCTTCATGGCTGGCATAATTCCCAAGAAAATGAAGAAAAAATGAAAGGATGCGTAAAAAATTAACCAGCTTGGGCATTGCTTGCAGGGGGCATGAAATGGCACAGAACCCTAATATGCATCCAAAATTGCTGTAAATTTTTATCTTTATGAGATTAAGGTATAATTAAGCAATTACAAATAAAATGGAATGTACTCCCAAGAATAGTTTTCAGCCCATAATCTGCCATTGCATTTAAAATGCCCAAGGCAAAGATGCTAAATCATTTGTCTGTGCTTCTGATCCTACTCTGATATCAGTGCTGTTTCTCTCCTGAATACTGCTGGTGTATTAAGGACTTATAATTTCCTACCTTATTGTGCAGACATGGAAGTGAAACAAATCAACAAACGTGCCTCAGGCCAGGCCTTTGAACTGATCCTAAAGCCGCCGTCTCCAGTCTCAGAAGCACCACGAACTTTAGCTTCTCCAAAGAAGAAAGAACTCTCTCTTGAGGAGATCCAGAAAAAGCTGGAGGCTGCAGAGGAGAGGAGAAAGGTACCTTTCCTTAAAAAATTATGCTAGTAATTAGACATGATTTAGTGTACAGAATAGCAGTTGAGTTTCCTGTCTCTTTGTGTGTTTTCCATTGCCATCACTGAGTCATGGTAGCCTGCATGGACAAAAATCATCAATATGTTTATAGAAATGAATTAGTTCATTGTCCTTCAGCAGCTTTCAAGCAAGCCTCACTGGTCTCAGTGCTGGGGAAGCATGCATCACAAAATAGATCTAGCTTCAGACAGGGGCCAAGTGGGCTCAAATGCACTTGCTTACAATGCGAGCATAACTAATGCTTCATTCAGGGCATCTGTAATAGTTGCTCAAAGCCAGTGCAATTATTTTGTCTGAGTTTAAGAGGCAGATCTGCAGTTCAAGCAGATGCTCTTGGTGCTACCAGATCTTGACTCCTCATAGCATCCATGGAAATTATTCACAGGCTCTGCATAAGGCAGCTAAAATGTCTTATTTATGCAATATAGAGGAACACCCTGAGTAGAGTGAGTTTGGGATCATTCCCACACACTTGAATGAAGACACTAGCATGGCACAGATGCTAAGAGACATTTCTAGCAGTTTCAGTAGTGATGGAAATTGGCTTTCTAGGGGTTTGTGCAGACTACGTCTTCCCCTCTTTATGATCCTACCCACAATGGTAAAACTCTGTTTCATAATCACTAAGTTTGTCACATGGCATTTGGAAGAGTTGTTACACCTTTCTCACAAAAGTTGGCACAAAGGCAGCTGGAAATACCCATTAACTGCTTATTTGCCTTTCAGCGTGACTGATGTGTTGAAGAGGTCTTCCTTTTCTCTAAGTTAGAGCTAAATCAGGCTGCTTTTTCTTTTTACTTTTTACAAAGAGAAAAAGACAAACTCCAGATTAGATAAAACAGAAGATGACAATGAGACACTTACCATAACCAGCCTGAATTGCCAGGCTGGAAATCATCAGTGTTCTATATACACACAGCATTTGTGCTGTGTTGCGCCATTTCAGAAAAGTCATGACTGGCTGCAATGACCACAGAAAAATTAAAATTGGTAATATATTGTCCTGGTTAATTCATGTTTCTTTTTGCTGATAAACAAAAGGAGAGAAGCAGAAGCTTTAGGATCTTGGGGCTTTCTGTGTCCTTCACCCAGGAGATCGATGTTATTTTGTGGCAAATCAGCTTGCACAATTAAATAGGCATTAGAAACCCCTCCTACCTGCCCATGAAGTCCCTCATAGAGGGTTTCTGAAAATGAAACAAGCTTATATGTCTCTTAAGCCATTTATTTCTCTTTTAAACAATGTAATTTCTTGCTAAAACTGCTGTTAACACAGCTTTTCCTGATGTCATCAAAAACATAACAGAAGTTCAGGTACAGCATCTGTGCCACAGATAGCCAGGAAAAGCAATTCCATTCTCTTTCATTTCTGTCAGACAAGATCAGGGTCACTGCCAAGAACCTCAAGGGAATGATTACTCTGGGGTGTGGTTTGTTATGTGTCTGATGAAGTCAGTAGATTTGGATTACTGACAGGGCTTTAAAACCTGGCACGTTGTTTGGATTTAAAGTGAAACCTGACTATTCTGGACCTCACTAATTTGAACAATTCATCTAGATGATAACTGCAGTGTTGCTACTTTTGTCATTTTTGCTGGCTTGCTAACAATGACCCTGTGGTTCCAGCACACAGTCATTAGCACTATCACTTCTTTCAAACAAATATTTCTGCCAGAGTATTCATTTCAGTAAGAGGACATGACTGTATATCCAAGGAATTTCCATTTGCACTAGCACCTGCAGAGAGGGGTGAGCTCTCACTCATCCAAGTTATGATATTTCCCAAAAACTCAGTCTGTGAAGTTTCTGTGTGCTGAGTACAAATGCTCAAGTAAAGATACAGACACAGAATGAAATGACAGCAATAAAAGGCCTGATATTATGCATATACTTGGTGGAAATTACAAATTGAATGTTTGAGAGATTTCGTTCCATTGATTTCATTATTGCTCATTTCCTCCTAAAGAAAAACTCATCATGCAATAGATTGGTAATCAGTGATAGCAATAGAGACACCTGCCATTTCTTCCCCTTGATACTGTATTCATTTTGAATGAACATATAACTGAGTTATTTTAATAGACAAGATCCTCCACATTAGCATTGCAGCAGAAGTTGCTGGGAAAGGAACAAAGAACAGAGCAAAATGTTTCTTTACATAACTGTTAAAATCTCTGGTGTTCTCACATCTTAACTATTGACTTCATTTTTGCCCCCAAAAAAGCATAGTGCAGAGAAGGATAAAAAAGCAATTAGAGGAACAGAAAATCTTCCATAAGAAGATAAATTAAACAGTCCACTTTTCAGCTTGGAAAGAGACAACAGATGAAAGATAAAATATAAGTCTACAAAGTCATGAATGGTAATGAGAAGATGAATAGGAGCAATTATATTCTATTTCACTCAATCCAAAGGGGACAAAAAATTCAAAGAAATCATCAGACAGAAATTTCAAAAAGGAATCATGTTTTCATGTATTGTTTAGTTTAGATATATTTGTTATCACAGATTGTTTAGAGGTTATTAAAATGTTATTTAGTTCAAAAATATAATAGCAAAATTGATAGAGAACTACCTTGTAGGAAATTACTATGTGAATGGAACTTGTGACTCAGGAAGTATGGAACCTGCTGACTGATGAAAGCTAGAGATATTTGCCCAACTTCATCTAGAGTTTTCCTCAGCATCTTCTTCCACTTTCTGCTGCTAGACAAACCAGGCTTTTTCCAAAAGCCAGCATGGCTGTTGTTATCATACTTTTCAATCTATGTACAAAGCTGTCAGGCATGTCCTTCCAGCACAATTTTATCTCAAATCAAGCTTAACTAATGGATGAGAATTGCCTTTTTGGAAAACAAGTTGCTAACGAATTTTACGCTGCTTAGGAATTAGGTTCTGCTCTATTAATTAGGCAGTGTTCATTAATAAATGTTCAAACTCATGAGACCATCTAGAGCAATACATGCACTTCAGCAGTCTCCTGCTTAGGCTTTTTCCAGTTTGTCATTCTTGTTTCTTTCCTAGTAAGCTTTCACAGGGCTCCTTTCCTTGTCTCCCATTTTCTCTACCTCACCTGACAGCCATGACCTCATACTCTCAGAGAGTTTCACCTGAGGCATTTTGTATTTTTTGCGTTACACAGCAAAGCCAATTTGGGCTAGTTACAGATTAGTCCTTTCCATTTATAGAATCCTCTTTACAGCATGTCATTATATCCTTTTTTTTTTTTTTGGCATATGTGTGCTATATTTTCCTACCTTGGTGGATAATCAGACAGATCTTTTCATCCTTCTCAGTTAAGAAATTAGAGCACTGTGACATTGTATGCAGCAGAAGTTTTCCTTACAGATATTTAACATTTATCAATTTTTACCCATTGACCTTGAATGTTCAGCTCTTATTATTAGTGGTATGCAGACTTCAAGGGGCATATATCAAATTATTTGTTTTTATTGTCTATGTTCAATTTACTTAGTAGCATAAAAAACAAACACTAAAGGGATGTGCATTTCTTCTAGACTATGGATTATAGACGAGAAATTGTATGTAATTAAATCCTTTTAATGGCTTTGTATTGGGATGAAACTGAATCAAGCTTATCCCTAGAGCTTAGTGTGACAAAGAATGCAGGAAAACAGTAATTTTTTTTTTTTTTATTTCATGCTGTTGGATACAGACTTCCAGCTTCCTGGGTTTTTAATGCTGTTGCAATGAAATGCCACAAGACAAGCCTGCTGTCCAGCCTGGGCTTGGCTCACTATGCTCCCCACAGCTGCAGCCAGCCCAGGGCATCTCTGCCAGCTTCAGGACCACACTCAGTGCTGGGCTTCAGCACCTAACTCACTGCCCCTTTGAGCCAGCAGCCTGCCCAGAGGGGGCTCTTGGCACTCTTTACCCATCTCTGCTTTTCCATCCATGTTTAGTGTTCTGTACAGGAGGCTGCTGGGGGAAGGCAGGGAAGGCAGCAGAGCTGGGGACAAATGTTCCTCCCTGGACATCGCCTGGCACCTACAGAACTGCTGCTCCAGGTGACAGGCAGAGAAGGGATGTGCTCCTTCCTTGTCAAAAGTCAAGATTTCTCCTTCCATCTCATTTCTGTTACCCTTTCCCACCAAATTTTAAGGTGAGAAGAATGGGAATGAAGATAGGCAATGCCCAAGACATATGTCTCCTGTCTTGCTCACCTATTGATCTTCCTTTCTATTGCTGCTGGCCCTCAGCTGCGCTTCTGTGGAGAAGTAACACAGCATGAAGCATTTTTCCATGTAAACGTCCCATAGGTGTAATGAGCACCAGAAACAGATGTTTCTGTCACATTTTGATTTACACTATAGTGTGCCAATACACAGTGGTTCACTCCTAAGTAACCAAAGATAGCAAAAATTCCAAGAAACTTCACAGTTCCTCACCCAAAACCACACGTTAGCCTACAGAATATGTGCCTGTAGGAAGATGTTTGCTACCAACAAGGAGAGGATTTGGTGTCAGGCACCAGGGTCTGTCTTGGAGCACGTGGAGCCATGAGCATACATCCCAAAGCTGGCAAACATTCTCTCCCCACTCTGCCATGGGCTTCTCTGCCACTAATTAACAACCATCAGACAATTTGACATTGATCCTCATTAACTTTATAATGCCAGGACTCCAACTGCAGCAGACCATGAGGGCAGAGGCTCAGGTGGTACTTCTTGCATACCCCCAACGTGCCTTGTTCAGCCCCGCAGGTCAAACCATGAGAGCAGCACTTTTGTGCCAGCTGAGGAAGAGAAAGTTTTCGTGAATCTCAACATGGAAGGGCTTTATTTTTTTTTTTTCCTCCACATCCCAAAGGTTGTTTGGCAGACTGTACAAAAATAAATTGAAAAAGAAATCCCCACCTAAATTTAAGAAAAATTTTTCATTATCTAGCTTCACTAGAAGCAGAGCTTCACCCATAGTTACAGATCACATGTCTCTGACTCTCCTGCCAAATGGATATTTCTGAGACAAGTCTAATTTGAGACCATTCCCATGTTTTTACATGGAAAAATCCCAGGCTCAGTTCCTTCCACTGAAAACATCAGTACTTCAAGTCACCATACCAAGGCTTCACCTTGGCATTTACATTGCAGTAGGAGCCTTTCCTCCTGTCTTCACAGTCTGCTCATGAATAGTTACTCTTAGATACACAGTGTATTGAGGAACACCAACATTACTGCAGCTTCTTGTGAACAACTGCATTTTTAAAAAAGAAAAAACAGTCAGTGAACAAATGTGTTGTGAAAGAGGAGCACTCAGACGCTCTAGTAACTAAAGGTACTGCTATCTGAGGTTGAATACATTCAAGCTGAAATTTCCAGCTTAAAAGCAGTTGTCTGGACCCATTTCTTGTTTAAGAGCGATAAAGAATTAATTTTATCTCTGTATCAATTACTTCAATATTTGGATATATCTGTCAAACAAAGATAGATAGATAGATAGAAGTGAGAAAATAAAGCAGCTCTTACTCAGATAAGGAAAATTTTCTTCATGTGAGTAATAATTAAACAATATATCTCCAAAGCCAGTTTCCATGACTAATTTTGCTCATGAAGTGAGTATTTAGTAGTCTGCATCTATCTCTGGTGAGCTAGGTACCAGACGTAGATTTCCTTTTGAACCACTCATCTCTGAAAACTGAAGATGCACATGATCGCTTAAATAAATATGACCTGAATATCACAGGAGAGGAGTTTGCCTGCAGTTTTAGCACATCAGTATGTTTCTTGGAGCAAAGGTATCTGTACCAGGACTATTCTCCAGTATTTTTATTCCTCCATATTTAATTATTAACAAATAAACATTTTTGTTTCCCCACATTATTTTGTGGCCATTTAGTACCTTAAGGAGGCTTGTAAAATGGAGGGAAAGTGGTTTTTTTCCAAGCACAGATAGTGATAGAACAAGGAAGAATGGTTTTAAACTAAAAGAGGGGAGATTTAGATTAGATGGTAGGAGGAAGCTCTTTAATGTGGGGGGCTGAGGCAGTGACACAGGCTGCTCAGAGAAGCTGTGGGTGCCCCATCCCTCGAAGTGCCCCAGATGAGGTTGGATGGGGCTTTGCACAACCCCATAGAGGAAGATGTGCCTGCCTATGGCAGGGGGTTAGAACTGGATGATCTTTAAGGTCCATTCCAGTCCAAGACACTCTATGAAGCTTTGATTATCTGATGTAACACTAGATGCTGCAGCTGGAGCTGCATTGGTTATGCCTTGTTATATTTAAGAAGTGTTCTGAATATTCCCCCTTGAATATTGCTTTTTTTGCTCCACCATTTCGTATTTCTCTCTCCTTATTAGTTTTCCTTATATTTCATCTTGCTAACAGCCTTTTTTTTTCATTTTCTCACCACATCTGTGTGAGAAACACCATAAGCAATATACAACTGTGTTAGAACTATCAAAAATTTGAAAATATCCCTTCTAGCCCTTCAAACAGTGTCAAAAATAAACTTGAAATGAAAACCTCCTATGTATGTTGGAATCCTGCATCACTGTGGAGCTGTGTGAGTCCAAACACAGCCATTTAAAAGCCAAGACAAACAACAAAGGGAGTCTATTAATCCCAGCTCCCCTGGGTATCCATGGTCATTCATTTACCCATTTCTGGATGTGCAGTAGACTTTGAACAGACAGGGTGGCCAAATTCTTTTGCCAAATGGGCTGGAAACAGAAAATAATTTGACAATCCAGTACAAACACATAGCAGGCGCCTTCCAGAATTGTCATAAGGGGATTTCAGAATGATCTGAGCACCAGGGAAACAGCAGACTGACAGCTGGGGTACAAGGCCATTAGAGAAGGGACATCAGTCTGAATGACATTCTACCCTGTGGATGTTTCATGGCAGGGAGGGGAGTTCCTTTATTTTGAACCAGTGCCAGTGATTTTCCTGTCTCAAAATTCGTCACAATGTGCCTTTAAAGACGTATTGTAAAGGAAAATCACATTATGGGTTTGCAGTCACTTCCTGAGGCCTGGTTCAGCTTTCAAGCAGTCTCTTTCTGCTGCCAACCCAATTTGCATCCAGTAAATACTGAATTAGAGGATAAGGATTTTCTTCATTATCATGAATTATAGGACAAATTACTTTTGAATGTACTGTCTGCCAGCACAGCATCCAGAAATGAGTGTACTTTGATATGAGGCTCTAATTTTTTCACTGTTCTCCAGGATTTATGATAAAAAGTCTTTCCGGAAGGCAAAAGGTTTGAATGAAGAAAACAAACCTTGAAAAATGGGGAAATGCCTCAAAATCTCAAAGGCATTTTGCTACCTCCATTGAAAGCAAATGCTCTTTTAAAAAATGCTTATATGCATAGACCAAGTCTTGCTTTTTATTAGTGAATGGCTGTGTCCTTGAAAATTGTTTTCCAAATCTGAAAAGGTCTGATTTTATAACACATTATATATGCATATTTAAACACCATGAACTGTTAGCCTTCAAATTTACAAGTCACTTCTGAAATGTTTCATGGGAAAGGACATTACATTAAATTAGTCTAATGGTGTCTTTTCTATTCAGACTCCCAACAGAAAGAGAAATGTATTCCCAGATTATCCATTACTTTTAGATCATTTAAGCAAAGGGTTCACAAAATTCATATCAGCAAACAAAATTTAGTGATCATAACTCTTCCAAAAGTAGACTCTTGAGAGATTGCTGTTGTGTAGTAAATTAAACAAAAAGTGCAGAACAACTTTAGAATAACTAGTCAAACTGGGCCACTCAGGTTTGCCCACAAGTGGGAAAGAGAGATTAAAATATTTAATTATTTCAGGTTTACATTGCATCAGATCTCTTAAAATAACTTTTTTACTTAGTAAATTAACCTACGGTTAAGAACTGTTTAATGCTAAGCATCTGAAATCAAATATTTTGTTTCAAAATAAACTACTTTTATTATATTATTATTTAAAATTTTAATATTTTTATTAAACTTATGGGGCTTTTATGATTTTTTATTGCTGTACAAAATTCCTTCTTGGCCTAGCTGTACCTGACTTTGGCTCATCCTTCTTCTATATTCCATCAGTGAAATTCCCTCTGCTTTTGGCTTCATCTATCTGAGAAGTTTTGTTCCCATTGGCAATATCTTTCATCTGGCATAACAAAGACATGAAAAGTGCTTGCTCTATTACTCTGTTCAGCATACGCTGTAAGGGAGAGAGGAGCCAGGAAGAGTTTCAGGGAGGTCCCAGCCCTTCCAGGAGACCATTCCTGCCAGCAGGTGCTCCAGGGATCAGTTTGGGAAATGGAGAAGTGAGCCTGTACCTGCAGCCAGGCCAGAGGTGAAACTCATTAAGTGATAAGGATGGAGGGAAGTGGCTCTCTCCTATCATCTCAAGCAAGCCATTACAGCCTTTCAAAGCCAGATGTGTTTTACCCCAACATCTTCTTGCTGCAAGATGTTCTGCCTTGCCTTTGCAGCCTTTTCTAGAATCTCCTTTATTTGCCCTGTCAGTGCATTTGGTTTTATGCATATCTTACTTTCATTAAAATATTTGTTTTCTCCTACTTGAGTCTTGCTCATATAGAAGAATTGCAGCCTTTTTCAGTCCATTTAAAGCCACATGATAGAATTTTGAATGTTTCATTACCACTAATTGTAATTAATGGTTAAAACCCTTAATTTAGGCCATAAACTAACTCATTTTTATGGATCACAATGGCAACAGTGCCTTGGGATCAGCACTGAAATACACAATTAGCCTCCCAGTGCCCTATTTCATTCTCTGTTTTTCTATTTCTTCTCATGCTGCCTCTCATTTATTTTATCCAAAAGCACATGATGTTGCTCATCTTTTCCAAATAACTGTCTTTGCAACTAGACTTGCCTGGAGAATGGGCCCAATGCTGCAAGTTTTTGGCTTCTTTCCTAGGATTAGTGGTTTCCTGTTAGAAATTTTGTTGAGTACACATAACAAAGCTTATGCTTCTGAGAAGTGAGAGAAGGAAGAACACAATATTAAGCATGGACTGCATGTGTTTAATTCCTACTCACAGTTTTCATCTTCCTTGAAAAATAAAAGCTTTTAACTAAAAATTTTTGGTATTTTCTATGCAATAAAACACTTATTTTCTCTTCCTAATCAGTGAGATTAATCTGAATATAAGTGTAATGGGAAGAAACATTGTCTGAGTTGATGCTGCCTGTCTTTCATGTCAATAAACTTCCAAGCCTGTTATTAACTATTCAAGCACGTTATAGAAGAGTCCAGCCTGGGTGAAAATTGCACCTGTCCTGCATCAGTAATCTCCACAGAAATGACTCTACATTTCTTCAACCTCAGGTGCCTGTCTCTAAAGATAAAATGCCTGTAGCTAAGAGACTGCAGCTGTCAGAGGTTGAGCAACCACTGGAGCGATGCAGATGAGCCAGGGCAGCAGCACAGCAGCATTTCTGTTAACAGAAGTGCTTCGGACATTTCTCTGCTGCTGCTCCCTCAGGCGCGTACCCCACATTCTGCCCGTGCTTATAAACCTAAATCTAACCTAGTTCAGTCACAAAGTAACCTCCTAAAAAAAGGCAGCAAGCTTTACACAGTTTCCACACTCAGGGAATTGTTGTCCTATGGCAAGGAACTGTGCTCCTTGGCAATATGCTTTGCTCCACATGAGTATTTCTTCTCAATCTGTGTCTCTGTTTCCAGTCCCAGGAGGCCCAGGTGCTGAAACATCTGGCAGAGAAGAGAGAACATGAGCGAGAAGTGCTTCAAAAAGCTTTGGAGGAGAACAATAACTTCAGCAAAATGGCAGAGGAAAAGCTGATACTGAAAATGGAACAGATCAAAGAAAACCGTGAAGCTAATATAGCTGCTCTTATCGAACGCCTCCAAGAGAAGGTAACCACACCATCACTCCTCACCTTAGACTAGAGAGGAAAACCTAATCAATATTTTGCGAAGATGATGTGCATAGTCCATATCTCAGCTGCTACACTTGAGCTATTTTTAAGTCAGAGCTACTGATGCCTGTCTAAACCCTCACGCACTTTGGAAAAGGACTGAAGTGCTACGGTCACACAATCACAGGGTGGTTGAGGTTGGAAGGGCCCTCTGGAGATCATCTGGTCCAACCCCAGGCTCAAGGGGGGCCACGTAGAACCAGATGCCTAGGGCCACGTCCAGGTGGCTTTTTAATATCTCCAAGAATGAAGACTCCAATTCCACTCTGGGCAACCTGTGCCAGTGCTCAGTCACCTCACAATGACAAAGTTTTCCCTGATGTTCAGAGGAAGCCTCATAGGTTTTAGTTTTTGCCTGTTGCCCCTGATCATGTCACTGGGCACCACTGGAAAGATCCTGGCTCTGTGTTCCCTTCATTCAGGTATTTATAGATATTTGTAAGATCCCCCTGAGCTGTCTCGAAACTGGACAATCCAGCTCTCTCAGCCTTTCCTCATAGCAGAGACTGAGAGATGCTCCTTAATCCTCATGGCTCTTTGCTGGACTGCCTCTAGAGAAAGGTTGGTTTTCTAGCTTTTAAAAAGTTCTGTGAACAAATGAAAGGTCACTTGTGTTTAGATTTTAGCTTCTAAGAAAAGTCACTGATCAAATCAAACAACTGCCCTATGTCTGTAATTCTTGGTTTCTCAGAGGAGAAAGATGAAAAATTGTGGGGAAAAAAATCTTTCATATACAGTAAAAGAGGTCTGTCTTTCCACAAGTCTTGCAAGGAATGGAGTAAATTTTCCTGTGGAGATCTTTGGTACATCCAGAGGAAACAGGGAAACACAAACCCTAGATGCAAGATGAATATGCCCTTCTCCAAAAAAACAACCTACCACACAAGGGAGAGAAACATGCAAATAAAGATTTAGAAGTGTTAAGAAAAAATTAATTAGTTCTGCATGAATGATCATTTGTTTCTCTCAATAATGAACTTTCTAATATATTCTGATACACTATTTCAATAGTAATTTGGCTAAAGAAAATAGCTCTCAGGTTTTCAAGGCGATCTTCATAAGCACCTCTACATCTGTGATGGAGACAAAAGTCTTTGAGAGTAGGAAAGAAACAACAGAATCCAAAGGATGATGTTACAAATAACTACACAAACAGGATGATTCTTGAGCTTAAGAGCTATATCCAGATTGCTTGACATTTTTGCATTAGCTTCATTTGCAGACACATTCCAAGACCTTATGAAAAAAAAGGAAAAGCAAATTAGTTATTCTCAAAGTCCAAAAGGAAGTGGGAAGGACAGCTGATGCATCTCTCTGTCCTAGGTTAATGTTAACAGACTGTTAAACCCTGAATTTGACAGCATATATGCATGAAACCCAAGAAAAACTTCTGAGGAAAGATGACAGTAACTTACTTGGAAATATTTGCACTGACCAGTAATTTAAAATACAATTTTGCCAACACCAAAACATAAAAAACAGACATAATTTGCCAACATCAAAAGTGAATTCTTAATATACAGAAAAAGAAGTGAAATATCTGTTCCAAGTCTTCTAAAGTTACACTGAGATGTGGGTTCCCCAAGGAATTGGTGTCTGCAAGCTACTGCAGAAATAACTTCTGTATGCTGCAGTTAATAGGAACACCAAGCAACAAATCCCTTATAAAATCTAGCATTCAGTATTACAGATCTTTCAAGGACTGATTTACAGGTTAAGTTAGAGCAATAGATGATATTCTTCGTCATAGCCAGAGAAAGACTCAAGTGGACAGGTAGCTTCAGTGTTCAGACTAAGGAAATTATTGAGATGTTCAGATTGACTTACTGAAACTAAGTTCTTGCATCTTTATTACAGTTCCTAAATGCTACAAATAACAGAGTAACTAACATACAATGTGCAGGCAATTAATTCCTCACTCATCCTTCCCTATATTTAGTTTAATATCCAGGAATTCAAAGGGCAAATGTGAGCATGTGGCACATTTTATGCTGCAAGCAGCACCTCTCTATGTGGCCCTTTTAAATGAGATTCTGTGAGGCACTGAGGATTATAAGACCATATCAGATAAAAGACTGAGCTCCAGAGCAGGAGTAGAAAGTAAACACAAAATGTGCCTCAGGCTGGTCTGGTGGATGACACCTCTCCTGTGTTGCTTCTTTTAAAGATGGTTGTGCTGTGAAACAAGTTTTGCACAAGCATCAAATGCATGACCTAAAGAGGTTGTCAGCTTGAACCTCCCTGGGCAGGGGGAACGAGAAAAAGATTTGATTTTTCTTTTCTTGATATTTTCCAGGAGAGGCATGCTGCAGAGGTCCGTAGAAACAAGGAGCTCCAGGTGGAACTGTCTGGCTGAAAACAGCAATGGTGGATGTGACCCATCCCCACCATTAGTAAACTCCCCCTGCCTATATTATTATGGATCATGCGATATAAGTATGGGAAATGTATGACGTGGTTTAAAACAAAGGTAAAAACAAGAACTCAATAAAAAAACTTTAAAAAGAAACAAAAAAAATAAAAACAAAATCAATGCGGTCTCTTTGCAGAATGATTTGCTTGATGTTTAAAAAACTTGGATCTTATTTTGTAAATACTTACATTTTTGTTAAAAAATACAATTATTGCATTATGCAAGTTATTTCATAATCTTACATGTCCTGTAACAGGCTTCTGATGTTGTCTATTTCCACTCGGTTGAATTTGCTGGGTCTGTTCATTTGAAGCACCTCGTGTCTAATTCCATTCCCTGCGACTTCTCATTCCAACCCACCATGAGGTCAGTAGTAGTTCTATGGTGCTAGAGGCCAATCATTGCCTAATAACCTAGACTGCTTTGCCATCTATAAGCTTTCTTGAAACAGTGACTAGATCACAGGCATTGTGACTTCACATTCAGCTGTCCAAGACAAAAGGCTCCTAAAATGGTTTTTCAAATGCAACTTATGCTGCAGGGCTCTGTACTGTGCTGTACAATTGAGGTTGAATCGCCACGTAGCGTGTTTGTTGCTTCAACTATTTGAGGTGAGAGGCAACAAAAACATCTGTGCAACAGAATGAAATGAAGCAAGATCAGTTTGAGACAAATTTAAAAGAGGCACGTTGTAACCATCAAGCTATGACAAGTTTTGGATTATCCAAACAGCCATACAAATGCTAATTGTAAAGTGAGCTTAATTCACCACTTGAAAATTTATTGATGGAGCAACTAATAGATAGCATCAAGTGGCTTTATCTGTAGGTGCCATGATCTATGATACTTATCTGATGCTACCACATTACATGTGTAATAATACAAGAGGCTACAGACTATTTCACCTGGAACCATGAGCCAGTTGTTACTGTTTTTTTATGACACTGCTGACTTCCATTCATCATGACCTTTACTCTTCAGTGTTAGCCAATCCTACCTAGGGACAGACATCTAGGACTAAGAGGGCTGAAGCAGGAGGAATGACTAGACAGGGTGCTTGTGCCAAGTACAATATCACCAAACCCAACACATCATCCCCAAAATAGCTGCAGTTTTGAAGTTGTCCCTACCCCCCCTGGAGGTTGCTGCCTGCATATTCTACTCTTCATTAGTGCTATTTTCCTGTATGTCATTGTGAGCAAGCTGTGATTAATAAAGAATTGGGGTTCTGTGAACTGAAAAAGGGCTTGTTTCTTCTCTCTTGCTCCATTACCTCTCTGGCATGTGCCCATGTAAGGGGAAAACCTAATGTGGTCATAAAAGCATGGAAATGAGACTTAAACAATTATTAATAGACCAAGCCTATTTCTCTGCTAATATGGGACTAATCCCTGCTATGCATTTTCCAGTGCTTAGGCTGGCTGTTTTTAAAGATTACCATATAAACTGAGCCTATAAATGTGACCTCTAGCACTGAGTTTATTAAAAAAGAACTAGCTATATACACATGGACATGCAATCCTTAATCCTGACTCAACATTGGGGGGAAAATGGAATCTGGGGAAAGAAAAGTAAATAATCTATCTCTGGGTACGTACATCAATAACTACAAGATCCTGAGTGTTAACACACTGGTTTTCAGGGTGGAAAACATTAATTTATAGGATTTATTGAAGAACAAAATCACTTGGATTTCTGCTGAGCTACAGAGCTGAAATGTAAAATCAAATCAGACCCCATTTTGAATTGGACAAGTGATAAAGAATTATCTCTAGGATTAGTAGAAAATTAAACTAATTATTTGAAGTCATCAAAGTTGCATCATTTACTTGCTCTTTCAGAGAGGTGGACTTTATGCTCCAGGTCTGCAACAGTCAGTTTTTTATTTTAGCAGACTATTATGTTTTGGGGCCAAGAGATGGCCTGCAGTCAAAAAGCAGCAGAAGTTGAACATGGAGAAAGGCTATGAGCTCAACTCTGTGTGCAGTGAACTCAGAACCACAGAATGAAATGAGTGCTCCAACTTGTTACAGCAGCTAAATTACTTATCTTTCTCATGAAATTACCAGAAGTAAACCTGGCATGAGAGCCAGTCTGGAAAACATGAACTTCAATGTTGCCAAGCCTATAAAGTTTGTATATTGCTTTAAGCCCCAGTAAAAAAAAAAAAAAAAAAAAAAAAAAAAAAAAAAAAAAAAAAGACAATATTGCAATTAAATTTAAGGTCCAGGATCTTAGCCTGAGGGATTTTGGACTCTGTTTTCATTTCCCAATGGCAAGCCACTTACAGTTTTCCCTCTCCATTGATTTAACAAATTCTGGAAGTACTTCAAGCCCTTTTCCTGTTTGTCTTCCTGGCTATGGTTGCTCAGAGAACAAGCCAAGAACAAATCTCTGCTGCTGAGCCAAGCAGGGCAACCTGCATCACTGCCATGGGGTTCAACTCTCTTCCTCCCAAAAAAGGGTGTCCACACCCAAAGTGCCAACTGGGATGGTCTCCAGCACACTCACTCTGCCACAGACCTGGGCTTTGCCTGGTAAGTGCTTCTTGACAGGCACCAAGGCTGCACCAGGGAAAAGAGTGAAGATCCAGACAGTGGGAGCGCTGCTGCCCCAGGTCACAAACCATGCTCTGCTCCTGCTCACTTGGCTCTTTGAACAGTGGAGGGTCTACAATTCATTTTATTAATGTATAACTATGCTTTGAAAGCCTGTTTGCAAATGCACTGCCTATTTAATCTCTAATAGCAAAAAAAGAGAAATATTTGGAGACCTGCAGAATAGCCATTTCCTTCTTTTACTCCTTCTTTACATTTCCTTATATTTTGCTTTAGTACTGCCTTTCTAGCTCCTCCCTGCTTGTGCTAGCAAAAGTGTATTTTGGCCGTGGGTCTCTCTTCATGTGTAGCTTCAGATAAAGAATCTCCTTGGAAAGTAATAAAATATAAGTATAAAGCACCTGCTTTTAAATGTCACCATTTGAGTAAGACAGGACTTTTTTAATTCAATGGCAACCAAAGGGTTCAGGGCTTTTAGATCAAAAAATTTAGGCTTCTTGTTTGATTAGATGCCCAAGTCCATCCCATGAGCTGGGAGTAGCTGCTGCTGAGCTGCAGAACATTTCCCACAGACTGCCTGATACCTCCCACAGGACAGGAGGAAGGCTGGAGCACTGGCATTGCACCACACAGATGTTTCCTCCTTTCACTGGGTTGTATGATGCCTCAGAAGCAGGGCAGAGCTGTGCAGCACATCTAGAGAGGCACTTCTGGCCTCTGACCTCTGCAGGTCCAAGGACTGCCACCCCAGGCATGGTTAAGGTTAGATCTCCTCTTGGTTAACTCATCTGTTGTGTCAGAGCTGCCACGAGGTGACAGCGTGAGTAATCAAACAGGAATGGCTCAAACCTGTCACACTTCTTGTGGTCCTACCAAAGCCACAAAATTTATGGTCAAACCAATTCTAGAATCCTAGAATCGTTTAGGTTGGAAGAGACACTTAAGATTATTGAGTCCTGGCATCATTAACCTGGCACTGCCAATTCCACCACTAAACCACGTCCCTAGGTGTCACATCTCCACATCTTTTAAAAACCTTCAGGGATGGCAACTCTGCCACTTCTGTTCCAAAGCTGGATAACCCTGTTGGTGAAGAAATTTTCCTAATATCAGAGTCACAGAGTCACAGAATCATTTATGTAGGAAAAGACAATTTAGTCCAATCTATGATCAAACACCACCATGTCAACTAGACCATGGCACTGTGTACAGGTCCAGTCTTTCCTTAAACACATCCAAGGATGGTGACTCCACCACATCCCTGGGTAGCCCATTCCAGTATCTAATTACCCTTTCTGTGTTGAATTCCTTCCTAATGTCCAATCTGAACCTCCTTTGGCACAACTTTAGGCCATTTCCTCTTGTACTTGTACCTGTTACCTGGGATAAGAGACCAGCTCTGCTACAACCTCCAAATATTTCCAGAGTCAGGAGGTTTGGATGCATGGTTTAAATCAACCACCAGTTCAGAACATGAAAACAATGCCTTTTCTCTCCCCTTTGTTATCACGCTTCTTGTCAGATGAAGGGTTTTTGTTGCTTTGTTTTTGAATAATTGGAAGAAAATGCTAACCCTTGTATAGCCAAATAGCAATGTCTGCCCACTCCCTCACTCCAGAATCCCCAAACAATTTTAGGTAACTTTCCCAGTGCCTCAGGGCTGGTAACACAGTGATGTTGGTGCAATACTGCCATGCAGTGGTCAGAGTTTACAGGGGGGAGCATCTCTGAATACACCAGGGATTGAGTGCAAGGATTTTCTCTGAAGAATATCCATCCCATCTGCTACACAGTTTACACTTTATATGAGGTAAATGGTGGGTTTGAATTCTGAAGCCTGAGTCCAGACATTTTCAGGTTTAACTCCTCTGTAACAGGAGTGGCACGACCACAGATAGCTGTAAGTCCAAAGAAAGGACTGATATTTTTGTGTGCAGTGTGGAGCATGGAGCAGCCAGAATTAGAATTATTGCAGCACCACCATCAGAAGCACTTCTGACTATGATAATTCCTGCATTACTGAAACATCAAATATGTCTAGAAAGCAACATAGTGCACAGCAGCCAGCTCAGAAGAGAGACTGAGACAATTGTAAAAACAATGTCTGAAGTATGGGGAAGGGCAAAAGAAGCTACATCAGAAACCATCAGCAGATTAGGGGATAAATGAACTGTGAAACAAATCTCACATTTGAAAAGTAGTTTTCATCTCCCAGTGAAGAAGTGAGCATGGTCATCCTTGAAGCTGTCCCCCTTGAAAAACACTGAACTCTTTCTCCATCCCCACACCAATGCTTGGAACTAGGACACAAGACAGAGGAACCTAAAATCCAGCCCACATTATATATATGTGTGTGTGTGTGTGTGTGTGTGTGTGTGTGTGTGATCCATAGCTCTGTGAGCAACAGGAACCAGAATATGCTTGGATTATCCATGGATTAGGAGGTTCTCCAGTGTGCAGTAAAATGCCTGTGCTGTAGCCATTCATAATTCCAGTGCTGTGCTGAAGCTCTGATGCCATCTGATCTTTTAGTTTTCCTCCTGGGAGATTCATGGAGATTCCTCTTACTATTCAAAGACCATAGGAATGCAGATGATAGCTAATTTACTTAGGGAAACATTTGCCTGCTTCAAGTCTACAATATAATATCACGCTCCCCTTCTTTTGGGAGGCAGTAAGTAGCTGCTGGAAAAAGTCTTCCTGCTGTAGCAGTTTGGCTTTGGTGAAATGGGTCACAGAAAAGGGAGATCCTGGGAAATTCTTGAAAATGGAGACATGAAAGGCATTATCCCAGATACAGACCAGATAATGTGATATAAGGAAACATCCAAGCCACAATTTAATATTTTTTTTAGCTATTATAGTTGCAATGGATTTTTAAACAAACTTTTAAAAATAGGTTCACTCTATCAAAATACATTTTAAAAACATTAGCTCTTAACAGACACAGCTTTCCAAGAAGTTATTTAGATAATAATTTCTACATATTCACAAAAGCTAAATTTCCCCATGTAAAACTGCTTCTGACCAGAAGATGGCAATCTCTTATTATTTAATAGGCAACTACAGATGGTAAATTTTATTTTGAAGAGCCTTTTAGCCTCTGCAGAATCCTGAAATCCTGCTATGTGGAGTCAGATGTTCTATCTTTACCCTAAAATATGGGCTTGGGTTTATATAAAACATAAAAGATAACACTTTTCCCTTGGGCAAAATTAATCGGTTTTGCTACATTTCCTTAAAAATACAGCACTGGCAGACATTTAAAATAAACTAAAGGATAAGGTGGCCATATGAATAAGCAGGATAATATTAGCTGTTCCCCAGTCTGGAGCTTAGAGGTTGATTCCTGCTCCCAGCAAGTCTGTACCAGCTCTCCTAAGGGCTGGATGGAAGCAGGAAAACATCACTGCTCTTCAGAGATTTCACACAGGCTGAAAAAGGGTGATGCTGTCAGCATAGGAAAGTGGAACATCCCTTTCTGCACTGTGTTTTGCACTTAGATGTTTGCAAATGATGAAATGAATGGTGGCGTGCAGTGGCATGTGAAGAGCTGTCCATGAGCAGGTTGCACAGAGTGCATGTTTCCCTGACACAGGTATGAGCTGGGAGCACCACTGGATGAGAGCACATCTTCTGCCTCCAGGGACAGGTTTGGAGGCAGCACAGCTGCTTGCTTGCAAACACAGCCTGTGCTC